CAATCAGGTGGAGAGTTAACATGTTCGTGTTTGCATGATGTAAACTAGTTGATCTAGAGTTGTTGTGTTGTTGTGATCTTTTAGCTATTTGACCAAAGAGACTTGGACATCCTCCTGGTTTTCAGTTAGCTTTGAGGTTGTACTGATTTATCGATATAATCTATTGCTTCTTAGACTTTTCTTAGTGCCTAGAAAGATGTTAACCTGCACTAGCCTGGTTAAGAGCTTTGTGGAGTTGAGGTTGGGTCTCAAGAAGCCTACTGTGAATCAGCTTATTCTTGCTTTTTTTTCTTCCTAAAAGCAAAAGTGACCTAGGAATATCTGTCTTTCAAACTGAGCAAAACTCTTTTCTTGTTAGTTGTAATGTAGATTTTATTGCCTAGGAATGAATAGTTATGTCCTTTGAGACTTGTTTTTATGTAGAAGAGTTTTTGTGATTTTTCAAGAAAATTACCAAAAAAGGAAATTTTTTTGAAAAAAGTAGATCAGTAGAAAGGGTTTTTTTTTTAAACTTTTTTTCTTTAACTAGCTTTATTCTTTATATTCTTGTAGACTTTCTACTTTACGATTGGCTATACTAATTCTAAAATTTTATAAACTTTCTATATTTTATTAGATATATATAGATTTCTTATCAGTACCCAGGCCACAATCTATAGTTTCTTAACTCATGATACTCAATCTTTCATATTAGGCCTTCAAATTTTAGGTTCTAAATTATTACACATAAATACTTCACTTATCTAACCTCTAAAAAAATATATATTACTTGTTTATTGTATATAATATAGCTGAATCAACATATGTTATTGTTTTGAATTAAATTAATATGTTTTGATATTATTAATTTATTTTGTTTAAAATATATTTATTTTATGTATTTATATTCAATTTTTTTTATATGCTGGTTCAGCCTTACTTTATTTGGATTAAATAGAAATGTACATATTATTTATACTAAAACTACCTATGTTAACCAAACTAGTTTGATAGAGAAAGACTTATCGCGTGACCTGTTGCCACCCTAGTGGGAGCTAACCAGTCAAGGCTGGGCTAGTACTATATAAAATTGTAAATATGTGAAAGGGGTGTGTAATGTTCTTTATGTATTGTCCTATATACTTATTTATCAGGTTTATATATTGACCTTTTATGTGTTTTTCCATTGTGCTAAGCTGTATACTTTTTTGTGGGGTACTATATCTAGCTGTTTTTTCAATTTTTCATATAATGCCTTATAGTTTTTTCCATTATTGAAATTCTTCACATCTTTGAGTCCAGATGCTATAGGGATATTCACTAATTTCTTGTCTAATTTCTTTTATGCACTTTTTATTTTATTGTTTATTTGATATACATCTGGTTATTAGGTTGTATGTTTCTTTGAGTATGGCTCCTTTGATAATACATTTGAGATATTTAGTATACTTCAGGGAGTTATTTCTTAGATAATTATTAATCTGTATTCCTATGTTCTTTATTTCACTGTATTGTTTGGCTTTGTTGATAATTGTGTTCCTTATGTATTCTTCTGTTTTTTGTCATTGACCTTGACACATGAATGGATATGTGTTTGTTTCTTTAGATCTGCAAGTTATGCATTTGTCATCTCTATACAAGTTCGGAAGTCTTTGGTAGAGTTTGGCTTTTGTTGGGAGTTCTTCATTTCAGAGGCATAGGTTGAATTTCCTTTGTTGTTGGTCTTTTTCATTGATTTGTTGTTCACTCATTTTGGTTGGTTACAGATTGGACATTGTTGTAGGTCAATGTATATATTTGATAATTCAGTCGCTGAACTCAATTCTTGTTCTATTCAATAGTCTCTATCTGGCTAGGTGCATTGCCTTTGTCAGTTCTTTGGCTATAGTTTTGATAGGGACTTCAAGTGGGTTTGTTGTCCCATTGTGAAGTAATGTGAATTGTGGATTTCTTGTGGAATAAGTGCTGATTGTTCTATACCCTGGTGTCATATCGTGATATGTGTCTATTGCTTTTAATTTGTCTGCTTGTTCATTGTATTTATTGCCTGTGTGGGCTTTGACTTTGATGAAATCAATTTTCAGGTAGTTGTCTAGAATTATATTCTTGAATGGTTGGAGAATTCCCAATTTTTTTGTTTTCTCAGATTATGTATGTGATTTGTTCCCATCACTTTTTATATACTTTTTATTGCTATCTGGCTGTCTATATGGATATTGGCTCTACTATATGCAGGTAGTGTACTAATCGCTGTTAGAATAGCCATCAATTCTGCTCTTGTTAATAAGGAGAAGTTTTCTATTTGTCCTTGAAATTTGAGTTCTTGGTTGTCCCTAATTATTATTATCTATCCTAAGCCCATATAGAATTGGTTAAAGTGGTGTGTCATGGATCCATCCATGTATATCTCAAAGTTAATTTCATTTTGTATTTGTTTTATGATTGTAGTTAGTTCCTCTAAGGCAAGATATATCGTGACTAGTGTTTTCCTGATCTGTTCTGATATCGTATTCTCTATGGGTATTTGTATATCTACACTGTAGTTTGTTGGTCTGTGTTCTAGTTATGTGAGCATGGTTGAAATTGAATTTGGTGAGACTCTACTTCTGAGCTTATTTTCTTCTCTCAGGATGTTAGATTGTGTTGAGATTTTACTACGCAGTACTGGAATTGTTATTGTATATTGTTTGCTAGCTATAAAAGTACATGTGGCATTTGATCAAGACTGTTGGTTTATATTTTATTCTGTATATTTGTTTAAAGGGGATTCACTGAGTATCTCTGTATAGTGCCTATATATTGTTGAGTTGTTATCTACCTTACTTTGTTTCCTACCAATGATTAGTTCTGTGTTCTTTTCCATTGCTATCCAATGTGGTTTTGCTGTTTATGTATTTGTTGTTGGTATACATTGTTAGAAGCAGTTGATTTGTCCTTGTTGTTTGTCAGTCATCCATGTCTGCAGGTTATATTGTAGTATAAAAAATCAAGATGTAGTAGGACCTAATACTGATTTTTGATGTATTCTTATAATTTGACACTAGTGTAGCATCTTTTTTCTCTTACTATTGGGAGTTGTCCTGTAAAGAGAATATTGTGTTTATTTAAGTTGGGATGAATCCTTCTATAGAGTTCTGGATCAATTATTTCTTTGATAGTGGTGTCTACTATTTTTATGGTCTGAAAGTTGTCTCCTTGAATTTTGTGGAATGTGAAACCATGTGTTTGAATATCCAGATTATGTAATATGGAGATTTCTTCCTGATTCAAAAAGAGGAGCTTATATGTGGTTATATATTTCTTTGGTTAACTAGAACATATTCTGTGTTGACTGTAGTCAATGGTGTACTATGTCTCCTGTAATGTTGTTTTGGTTTACTCTTGCACACCAATTGTTGGTATATAGTTGTACTTGTCTGTTCCATATGTGCATTATGTTATATTCATATTTGTCATAGAGCAAGCTGTTGGGTATTGTGTTGGTGAGTTCTATTTTATGTTTAAATGTTGTTGCCAATTTGCTTATTAGCTGATTGCAAGTTTATCTAGTAAGACTATGTTATTGTATAGATATTCTATGCTAGGTATTAGTATATAATTGATTATGTATTGCACTTGTTTGTCAGTAATCTTTTTTATTTCAATTAATGTGCATGTATTGACAACCTTTTGTTTTATTAGGTGTTTCTGATAGTCTTTGCATCCTGAGCTGTCATACCAGATTCCTAGGATTCTAACTGGTGTGTTGAGAGGGCATCCTTGTATTTTCTGATTATTTATTATTACTCCTCTTTCTAGGTCTTCCTCTGTACTATTGATGATAATCAGCTGTGACTTACTGGGATTGATTTTGATGTCATTGATGTGATAGAATTCTTCTGTTATATGGATGATTCTTTGCAAGTCTATTCTGTTGTCTGTTGTCCATGTTGTATCATCCATATATGCATTGACTGCTATGTTGGTAGTCCTTTTATTCCATCCTGTTTTGAATTCTGTACATGCTTTGGAGCTTATTGTATAGCTTTTATGTTGTTAACTGATCATGGCTAGTAGTGGGTCATAGAAGATGTGCCATAATAATGGAGATATTGTGTCTTTTTGATCTATTCCATCTCTTACTTGATATTCATCTGTTAGGTGATGGCATGTTATAACTGCATTTTGACAGTCTTGAAATATGCTGAGCAGAATTGTGACTATTGTGTCTGGTACCTTAATCCTTTGAAGGGCCAACTGTAGCATCTCTAAATTGACAGAGTCATATGCTTTTGACATGTCTTGACTCAAGATCCAGGCTTGTTATTTAGTTTTTTTTGTGTGTTCAATGATGCTACTGATTATGTAAATACGGTCTTGGGTGCTGCTACCTGGAAGTGCAGCCCAGTTAAATTCAAATAGTATTTCTGCATGAGTCAGACACTTGGTTAATCTGTCTGTAATAATTTTGGTGAATATTTTTCTTCCCACATCAAGCAGTATAATGGGTCTAGTGATATCCAGGTTGTGCACCCAGTCCTTAGTCTTAGGTATAGAATATATATGTCCCCTGCTCAATTCTCTAGGTGTGTTACCTTATTGGATGATCATATTAAAGATCACTCTAAGTTCTTCTCTTGCTTTGTTCTTTAAATATTTGTATGCTAAGTATGATATCTGATTGGGGCCTGGGGCTGACTTTGAGCTACGTTGTCTGATTACTTGTACAAGTTCTTTTGTTGTGATCTCTTTTAGCATTCCTTTGTAGTAGTACTGCTTAATTTGTAGTTTGGGTCTATATTCGGCCTGCCACCTAGGATATCATTCTAAATTTTTGGTATTTTTGTATGGTATCCAATTGTATAAGTGTTCCTTTATTTTAGTTTTGATTTCTGCTGGTTCTGTGACTATCTGCATATCTTCTCCTTATTGGATGATAAGTTTGTCTAGCTGTATTTGTCTTCTAGGTCTCTCCAGAATACTGTTGATTATGGCACACTTGTTATTGCCATATTGCTCTTGTCTTATCTGGATTCTTTTCCTTATTGTAATAAGATGTCTTCTATGGGAAATGGCCTTTGTAACTGTTTTTTATGCCTTTATATTGCCTTGGATTACTTTGACCCATTCTTCTAAGTATGTGTTAGGATATTCAGCTTCTAATTTTTCGAGTATGGGCACCAAGTCTGAAACTGATTTTTGTATGCTCGCTGGGATCTAAAGTGGCTAATGTATTTTTCCTTCTTCTCTATCTTTTAGTTGTTGCCTTATTTGTGTGAAAAAATTCTGTAGCTATATTATAAGTGGTGCTTCTTCTATATCTTTGACTTGGTATCTTTTCATTTGATGTGATTTCTTTTTTGGAATGTATTTTTTGGCTGCTTTCTGAATAGTGTTGCTGAATTGATTTTATAGATGGTCCAGAAGTTGCTTCCTTGTGTATTCTATTTGTATGTTATATTTGATATATTCACTGAACTTTTTTCACTGCTAAGTTGTGATGAATTGCCAGTTGTATCTATAGTTGTGTTTATGATAGGTTGCTTGTTTTAGAGTATCAAGTTTCCATACTTCTATTTCTTCTATCATTGTGATGTGGTTACTTAGAATTGCTAATGTGATAAGATTTGGATGGTGGCCATTTTTGATTGCCATGTTGCCTGTGGGCTCATCCAAATTTGGACGATTCTATTACTGCTTCCTCCTCTACTTCAAGTATATTCTCTCTTTGTGTGGTTGTTTGTTCTATATATGTCTTTCAAGTTATTGTCCAAGAGGATTTGTATTTGTTTTCCTAAGGGGCTGTGTTTTTTGATTGTCTTTGTGCTGCTGTGTTTGTTTATTGCTAGATTGGAAACTCCATTTATGTCCCCTGCTACTAGAAGATGCCATCCTCTTTCTGTTGCTTCTTTGATCCATTTGCTTAGGGTGTTAAGTACCCTTTGCTTTTCTCCTTCCATGTCTTGTATGGAGAAGTAGACTACAATTATTCTTATTTTTTCTTTGTGTGGAAAGGCCAGGTCAGCTGTAATGAATCTATCTGCGAGTGTTTTGTAATTATAAATTCTATATACAATGTCTTTGTTGATCATTATATTTAGACCTTGTCCACTGATTTGTGCTTCTTTGTGGATCCATATAGTTTGGAATTTCTTGTATTGCCAATGTTTTGATTGTTGATATGACCATTTGTCTTTGTGATAATTATGATATCCCAGTTTTCTGTATTGCATAAATTGAACCATATCTCACATTTGTGTGTCTCTACTAGACCTTGAATATTAAATATTGTGACTTTCCATATTGGTTTGTATTCTCTATGTGTTGTTGTGGATATTGTTGTGCCAGTTGTTTCATTGTTTGTATTTGGATTCTGGTTTGAATTTGTTATTAGATAACCTGTTTCTTCCATTTGTTGTTTTGGTGTATTGTAAGAGTTTGTTATTTGATTGTTTCTGGAGTTGCTTGATTCTTCTGTAAATATAGTGCTCTGGTTGTTACCCATTATTATCTATGTGGGGAGGAGGGCATGCTGCCTGAGATGACATTTAGTACAGTATTGTATATCTGGTCCATGTGTTTGTCTAATTTTTGCATGGATGACTGAATGCATTGTTGTTGGATATGAATGTCTTGAGTGCTATTTTAGAGTGCTATGTCTGTTACTGAACTTTCTTCTGTATCGAGGAGGGAGGTGTCTTCATCCATTTGTTTCATGTAGTCTTTATCATATGTCTCTAAGTTAACCATACATTCCTCTAGATCTGCTATGTCTTCTTTTATTTCTTGGATTTCTTGTCTTATTGTTTTGAGAATGTGAAGTACTTCTGTCATGGTTGTTTGAGAAGGATAGGCATGTGTCTCCACTTCTTTGTGTAGTCTTGCTACTGCTGCATAGGAGCCTGGCCTAACCTTTCTCTGGTTGTTGTGTGTGGTTGCACTTCTCCTTATATTTTCAGTACATGCTGGCCTAAATTTGTTGTACAGTTTGCCGAATCTGTTGGGTTGTTCAGTATTGTACTGATTCTATTATGTTCTTCTTTCTTTAATTGGGCATTAAGCAACTAAATGTGTTGCACTTCCACATATAATGCAAAGTTTTGTGTCAATTGGTTTCTATTTTGCTTAAGTTTCTCCAAGGAGAACATTCTATGTTGTTGCTGCTTCCAGGTCCTCTTGGTTCATGAAATCAATGATTGCGAACCGCTTGTATTTGTATAACATAACCTTGGAATGTAGCATGTTTTGGCTCCAGTTTGTTCACATGTTAGTTTGAGATCAAAGACAGTAATATTGGATGGGAGGTTCATTAACTTGGCTATAATATTTTCACGTGTTTTCATTTGATCCATATCCTATTGTGCATCAAAAATTCTGACTGAGTCTGATCATGCAAAATACTCCATTTGGCAACTAGATCTTCCTTGACTTGTTTGTTTGCATAGGTAATGACTGCTGATTGCCACATTTGTTGTATAGACATATCAATATTTGTGATCTCTTTAAATTTGGCAAAGGTTTGTTGTATCTCTATGAATTTTGTATCCAAAGGATGTCCTATATCCTGATACTGTTTTCCTTATTTGGTCTAGGGGATGTGAAAGCTATGTATTCAAGATGAGCCCTATCCATTTCAAGTAAGATAGTGTTGCATGCTTCTTCTGTAGTATGGTGATCACTGAAAATAGCAATGATGTGTTCTTCTTCTTTTTTTTCTTCGCTGCAGGTAGAGAGAAGGCCAATGAGTGTGTTCAAGCTTTTTGCAATGTGTGCTGTCTTTTGATTGGTAGTTCTCCCTGGGACTTCTAATGTTTTGATGCCTGTTTTGACTCTTTCCCTGCCGAATCTTGTCGTTGGATCAATAGATGATCTTGGTCTGGGTTTACCTGCTCTGTTGATTGGTACATTTCTGTGGGAGACTTCCTGCCATTACCCACTTGATTCAGATCTTGTCCGGCTGCTGGTACCTGGTTCCTCTATTTCTATATCTGAATCATCTATTCTTGCTACTGTGAATGTGACAGGAGAGTTCCTACTTTGTTCATTTTCTTGATTATTTCTACCTTTAGTGTTTATGTCAGTTTGTGTATCTTGTGTGATCATTTCTTTTACTTCATCACTCCAAGTTGGTTGTTTTTGATTGGTTTTCTTTTCTTTAATAATTTCTATACCTAAAGTTACAGGCTAACTTGTGTTCTGGTTCCTTGAGTATTCATTTTTGCATTTTCTAGAGGAGTTTTTCTTTTTTTTCCTTTGTTTTTTGGGTTAGACTTTGTTGTCTCCGTATGGGTTTCTTTGCACAGCAGTCTTGTGTTATTTTTCGCCAGGATGTTTTCATTATAGTTGGGTCTGCCCTGGATATAAGGGCTTCTGTGGTCTCTAGGAGAACTCATCTTTCCGTTCACTTTTCTTCTTGTTTCCTAAAATGGCCTAAAAAGGAAATTTTTAAGAAAAAAAAAATCTATGGGAAAGAGTTTTTTTTTGCAATCATGTATTTATATTTATATAATATGAACAAATATATTAATTGTTGTGATTGTTTTGTTACTGATCTTTACTGTTTAATCTAAGTAATCTGAATATCTTTTTAGGTTTTTGAATCCTGAACTTGTATTGATTTATCAGTTTAAGATATTTCTTCTAAAACCTCTTTTAGTATATAAAAAGGTGTTAATGTGCACTAACCTATAGAAAACTACTGTGAATCAATTCTTCTTTGCTTTATTTACTTTCTAAAACAAATCAAAATTATAAGAATATTAATATTAAATAATGATATTCTTTTCTTGTTGTCAGGAGTTAGCTATATATAGTATTTGAAGACGAGTTTTAATATTTTTCTTTAAAATTGTTTTTTGTGAGAAGAGTTTTTTATAAAAATTACTATAAAAATTTTATTTTTAAAATTTAAAAATGAATTTTTTTATATTTATATAAACTATCTAAACAAAAATATCATATATAATATATTTATTAATTATATAAAATTTTACATAATAATTTTATTTAAAATTTTAATATGTTATATTTTATGTAATAATATATATATATTGTTAAAGTCAAACAAAGTTCAGAATTTTTGCCGTAGTCACGTGACCGACGATCATGACGCGACCAAAGCTTACGCGAAACAATCAATTACCAACTATCACCATACCCCTTATAAGCTAGAAGAATGTATGAACAATCTATTCGTGTCAAAAAGGTAAAAAACTATGCGTTGAGGTAATAGAAAATTAGCTAACCAAGAGGCAATTTATATATGACATAATACTAGAATAGCCATAGTGATTATATAATAGCCTATGTGTAAAAATGTATAAATATAACTTCTTTCAATAACTTAATAAAATGGCGAATCTCAGGACTAATCTTAAGATGAATCTCACGATGAATCTTTTGAATAGATTGTTATAACAGTGAAGTTATAAGTAGTTTTAGGGAAAACTATTTTAAGACTCGCCCAAATCTTTTTACACCTCTACCTTGATTTTGGTATTGTGTGTGTGTGATAGAAGGACAGACTTTTCTATTCACAGGTTATGCGAGCTTTTGGTCATTAGCGACAGACTTACCAATTATCCTGCTACAATATATAAATCAATATTCTTGTTCCATTGATACTAAATCATAAGAATCTACTGAAAATCAGTATCAGGTTCACTCCAATATAGATCTTTACACTATAACACAAACTGTAAACATGAATTACCAACAAATAACAAAGGCAAATTAACTGCTTTCAATAATGTATACCAATAGTAGATATATAAATAGCGAAGCCATATTGGATAGCAATAAAAAAAAATACTGAGCTAATCATTGGAAGAAAACAAAAAAAGGTAGACAACAATTCAACAGTATATAAATACTATATACAGGTATCTGATGAATCTTCCTAAATGAATGTACAGGTTGCAATATAAATCAATAGACTCAATTCAACTTCATATGCACCTTTATAGTCAACAGATAAAACACAATAACTATTCTGATACAACATAGTAAAATTTCAACAAAATCAAATATCCTAAAAGAGAACAATATATTTAGAAATGGAACCTCATCAAATTCAATTTCTATTATTTTCACAGAACAGGAATACAAACCAATAAATTATAATATAGAAGTCAAATACCTGCAGAGAACAAGTCAACAGAACTGATTAGAAAAATACTAACCACAATATCACCTATCTTAGAGGAATTATCTACAATTACAAGGCAAGTACAAAATAAAATCAACCTTGAGATATATATAGACAGATCTATATTATGTCATGATAATTAATATTACATGGATTTTGGATGGATAATAATAATCAGGAAGAATCAAAAATTTTGATTCCAAGGATAAATAGAAAACTTTCTTTTATTAACTCAAGCAAAACTGATGGCTATCTTAATAGTAATTAGTATACTACTCTTATACAGTAGAGCCAAAATTTATACAGATAGTCAGGTAGCAACCACTTAAAGATATTATATAGGCAACTACCTGAAGATAGATCTTATCAAAGTTAAGGCTCATACAAGTAACAAATATAATAAACAAGCAGACAGATTAGCTAATATGGATTCATATCATAGTATGATATCAAGACACAAAATAACTAATATCCATCCCATAAAGAACTTACAATTCATATTACTTTCCCAATGGAACAACAATATGCTCAAAGTTCTTATCAAAACTATGGCCAAAGAATTGACAAAGGCAACACATCTAACCAGATGGAGACTCTTGAATAGAACAAGAATTGAATTCAGTGACTGAATTATCAAACACATACATTGGCTTTCAACAATGTTGAATCTGTAATCAATCAGAATGAGTGAACAACAAATCAAATAGAAGAGATCAACAACAAAGGAAATTTAATCTCTGCCTATAGAATGAAGAACTTTCAACAAAAGCCAAACTATATCAGAGACTTCCTGATCTATATAAAGATGCCAAATGATAATCTGCAGATCTAAAGAGATAAACATATACCTATTTATGTGTTAAGGTCAACGACAGAAGACAGAAGAACAAATAAGAAATATAATCACTGACAAGGTTAGATAATATAGTAAGAGAAAAGATACAGAAGAACAAATTAACAACTATCTAAGAAATAACTTCTTGAAGTATACTGAATACCTTAAATGTACCATCAAAGGAGTCATACTCAAAGAAACATACAGCTTAATAGCAAGATGTGTGTCAAAAACTCAACTAAAACAAAAATGCATAAAATAAATCAGATACGAAACCAGTAAATATTTCTATAATATTTGGACTTAAAAATGTGAAGAATTCTATAAATGAAAAAAACAGCAAGGTATCACATGAAAAATTTGAAGGACAGTTAGATACAGCACTCCATGGAAATTATACAGCTCAACACATAGGATAAATACATAAAAGATCAATATATCAACCTGGTAAATAATTATATAGAACAATATATAAAAAATATTATACACTCTCCCACATTTTCACAATTTTATATAGTACTAGCCCAGCCTTGGCTGGTTAACTGCCATTAGAGTAGCAATAGTCTACAAGGTGAGTTCTGATTTATTTTATGCATTTTTGTTTTAGTTGAGTTTTTGACACACATCTTGCTATTAAGCTGTATGTTTCTTTGAGTATGACTCCTTTGATGGTACATTTAAGGTATTCAGTATACTTCAAGAAGTTATTTCTTAGATAGTTGTTAATTTGTTCTTCTGTATCTTTTCTCTTACTATATTATCTAACCTTGTCAGTGATTATATTTCTTATTTGTTCTTCTGTCTTCTGTCGTTGACCTTAACACATAAATAGGTATATGTTTATCTCTTTAGATCTGCAGATTATCATTTGGCATCTTTATATAGATCAGGAAGTCTCTGATATAGTTTGGCTTTTGTTGAAAGTTCTTCATTCTATAGGCAGAGATTAAATTTCCTTTGTTGTTGATCTCTTCTATTTGATTTGTTGTTCACTCATTCTGATTGATTACAGATTCAACATTGTTGAAAGCCAATGTATGTGTTTGATAATTCAGTCACTGAATTCAATTCTTGTTCTATTCAAGAGTCTCCATCTGGTTAGATGTGTTGCCTTTGTCAATTCTTTGGCCATAGTTTTGATAAGAACTTTGAGCATATTGTTGTTCCATTGGGAAAGTAATATGAATTGTAAGTTCTTTATGGGATGGATATTAGTTATTTTGTGTCTTGATATCATACTATGATATGAATCCATATTAGCTAATCTGTCTGCTTGTTTATTATATTTGTTACTTGTATGAGCCTTAACTTTGATAAGATCTATCTTCAGGTAGTTGCCTATATAATATCTTTAAGTGGTTGCTACCTGACTATCTGTATAAATTTTGGCTCTACTGTATAAGAGTAGTATACTAATTACTATTAAGATAGCCATCAGTTTTGCTTGAGTTAATAAAAGAAAGTTTTCTATTTATCCTTGGAATCAAAATTTTTGATTCTTCCTGATTATTATTATCCATCCAAAATCCATGTAATATTAATTATCATGACATAATATAGATCTGTCTATATATATCTCAAGGTTGATTTTATTTTGTACTTGCCTTGTAATTGTAGATAATTCCTCTAAGATAGGTGATATTGTGGTTAGTATTTTTCTAATCAGTTCTGTTGACTTGTTCTCTGCAGGTATTTGACTTCTATATTATAATTTATTGGTTTGTATTCCTGTTCTGTGAAAATAATAGAAATTGAATTTGATGAGGTTCCATTTCTAAATATATTGTTCTCTTTTAGGATATTTGATTTTGTTGAAATTTTACTATGTTGTATCAGAATAGTTATTGTGTTTTATCTGTTGACTATAAAGGTGCATATGAAGTTGAATTGAGTCTATTGATTTATATTGCAACCTGTACATTCATTTAGGAAGATTCATCAGATACCTGTATATAGTATTTATATACTGTTGAATTGTTGTCTACCTTTTTTTGTTTTCTTCCAATGATTAGCTCAGTATTTTTTTTTATTGCTATCCAATATGGCTTCGCTATTTATATATC